ACGTGGCTATATTCAAAACGATTGTCGCTAGCTGTATTAGATTCTACTTATCCAACTCTGTCCAATTTAGTTCAATCGATCAATGATCAAGAATATTTCGATTCATTTATAATCATGATTAAAAAAAGAACCGCTTTCTCTGTTTCAATTGCTGGAGCGTTAACTGATGATGATGTGATTAGAATGTATATTCCACTTTCAAATAGGGTTCACTGTACACCATGAAGGAATGAATAGGATAACTCGACGTTGAGCTGTTTTATCTCAAACATGATCCATGCTTTATTTACAGGCATAATCTTGTGTCTCTCCAACAGTTTTCTTTGACACTATCTGAAGTTATTGTGCTGTCATCAGGATTATCGGTGGTAATTTCCCACGGAGAAAACGATTCCAACCCAATGATTTCACAAACAACAGAGATTCTTCTTCTGTCATAATGAATTTATTTCATCGAAATTCAATCGACCATGTGCATTGCTATTTTAAGATGTCAATGACAGTAAGACAAAAGATATTAACTGAACGCACATATTTGAACACCCTCAAATTTGTAGTAAATCTTAATGATTTCATTTATTTGCGCAAGAACAGAACCAAGATGAACTTTGCTGAGTAAGATATATTCCCAATGAATGAAAATGCTTGATGCTGTTTTATCAAATTTTCGGGCTATACTATTTTGCTTTGAAATTACCAAAATCGACCAATATCCATGTCATATAGAACGGTCTGTAAACAGGCTGAAACGGCGAAAGACGACTGCAGTTGCGGCCATCGTTTACGGTACACTGTACCGTAAAACAAAGAAATATGGCGAAAAATGATATTCGTTACAATGGTCATTGATGCACCAGCTGAAACAGCTGCCGTTACGACCACCGGTTGTTTTTGTCGTTTTTACACTTCTTTTCATCCTACCAACATAAATACTCTAAAGTCATCCTTAGACATTCACTGATGATTGATGATCACATAGACATTTTATATTAAAAAAATGAATCCTATTTATTTAAATAACGAAATTTATTTTTGTTTATTTACATTTCTCTCGATTAAACATTCAACAGTAAGTATTTTGTTTAAATAAAAATAGTTATTTTTGTATTTTACTAAGTAGATTAACTTCAACTCAAATACTTATGACAGTAAGTATTTTATTCCAGCATAGTCATTTATTTATTCTTATTTAGATTTATTTCAATGAAACATTCAACACCCAGGTTCAAGAAAACGGCGCCGTAATCCGTCATACAAACGATGGCCGTTTCCTAGCGATAAAAACGTTTCATAAAACGATATGATGAGTTACGGCGAAATAAGGTCAAAATTAATGCCGTAATTTGTCGTTTTGTAGCCGTTTAAGGCTAGATAAAGTGCCGTTTGTGACAGTCGAAATGATCGGCCCGAGCAGTAAATATTCAGCTTAAATAAAAAGTGTTTATTTTTTATTTAGATTCATCTCGATGAAACATTCAATAGCGAATATCTTATTTAAATAAATACTTTCTTTTTTATTTTTACTTTTATTTCCATTGAAATACTTAACAGTAAGTATTTTATTCTAATTAATATAATTAGGTTTTTTAGATTTAACCCAATGAAATACTGAATAGTGAATATTTATTATAAAATAGCTAATTATCTTTACGGAAGACGAGGAGAGGTGAAATAACAGGGTAAATAAGAATCTAAACGAGCAAATTCCTTCTCTGATACTAATGGTCGTTTCGCGTCGGATACCGCCTCAAACGACGTCGTTTACGTTCTGGGAAAAACGGCCTTCAATCCAAGTTGACGGCAAACGGTAAAAAATGACGATCGTTTTTCATTGTTTTGGGTAACAATCACTCCGTTTTTTCACTGTTTTAGGCATTTTAAGACGTCATTTCACATAGCCAGAATGATGGACCTGGGTAAAGAAGACAGCACATGATATCCACCAATTGTCGATAGCAGTTCTTTAAGGGGGAACCCCCCTTCGAAAGTCGATTTTTCCTTGAAAAAGTCGATTTTTGGAAAAACACATCTTCTTGTAGCCCCAAGTGTCCTCTTTCAGAATATGTATAAACTATATAGGAATGGAACATATTTTGCCCAATTTTGGCAAGTTTACTGGACGCTATAATGGAAAATCGGCTGTCTTGTTGATTTTCTTTCTTAATTATCGGTAACTAATATCGTTCTACCTTCTTTATTAGCACTCTAAAACCATTACCGTATCGAGTAATCATGTTTTGGATGTTGCAGTCTTATAAGAAAGGTTCAAAATTAGGCTATTTTTCGAAAAGATGGCGCTACAGTGAACTTGGATTCAGAAATTAGCTTAAGAAATCGGCTTATTTTTTTCTTGAAAATACTACCAGCTGTAAGAACTTTTTATGCGCTTTTCAGTGATATATAATATGCTCGAATTCTCTCTACAAGAAGATCATCAACTACGTCGCAATGTTGTTATTCGTTTTTCTCAGCTTCACTTTTTTATCGTTTTCTGACCATTGCGGAACATTTTCCCAGTTCACCGCTTGATGTACTCTGCTGATTTTTATTTATTTAAAAGATGAGACTTTTTTCTAGAAATTGTCGGAACAGATTTTCAAAATATATCTCCATTGTTTAGATATTTGAAAATCTTTGAAAGTGCTCAAAGCAGTTTTTGCGATTTTCGATTTAAAATGATTACTACAATTGAATGAAAACGAATTTCAAAAAACTGTTCCTACAATTTCTAGATAAAAGATTTTTCTTCATTTTGAAACAAAGTTCAACATTTTTCATGCTACCGCGCATCGGAAAAATGTTCCGTGCCAAAACCCCCGTTTTCATGAGTAAATTGAGTATAGCTTCTTAATTATCAAAAATGATTGGTTGAAATTTTTATCAGATGCTAGTTACATTAGCTTTTCTATTTCCTGAAATTTTCATCGAAATCTGTTGTATCGTTTAGAAGATAGGTTTCGGAGGGGGGGTTCCCCCTTAAAGACACGAGCATAGTGCGTTTCTTCATTGAGTTGTTGATTTACGTTAAAAGACTTATCTTTTGTTTAAAAATATCGTCATTGTCTCGTTTTATCCTTCTAGGAATAACTTATGATATTTTCTGGCGTTTGAAAAGCTTAGCAAAAAGCCATGTTTTGTCTCAAGACTGTTTTTCTTTGTACCAAATGAAATAATGAATAAGATATTTTTTCTTCTCAATACAATCAGTCTAGTATATTTTCAAGTTTACATATTCATCAAAGAATGAATTGAAATGCATGCAAATACTTTGTAGTTTCTAACAATACCCTTGTAAATGTAGTTGACAACAATATTAAGAGAAATTTTCATTTAATACATATTGACAAATAAAAGAAAATGTAGATGCTGTTGTTTAGTATCATACTTCTTGATTTTATTCATTATTTAATAAAATTGGTTCAAATAATATACAATCTATACAACATGCGGTAGCAAAATTGAAAAAGTTTGTTCTTTAACCTAGATAAGTTGGAATTAAAATGCATCACTATTGCTCCATTTTTTTCTCATCTAATTCTTTCAAAATGATTATTACGCTGTATTGAGATCATTGATGGTAATTCAATGACACATATTATGCATTAATTATTAGTACTGTTTTGATATTCACAAGGAAATGAGCCAATCAGTAGTACTTCATTCTATGATAAAAATAAACAGATCCATTGGTTATTTTGGAACAATAGTATTTAATTTTCTATTCTTGTTGGATCAATTGGCCATCACAAGAGAGATGCAATGTCAAAAACGAACTAGTTAGTCTCCTATTACAGTATTATTTATACAAATCTGGGAACGAGCTATCTGAAAAAGTTGATATATAAATAAAGCCTGCTAGGTTCGGGAAAATTGGATCGGAAGGGCTCGCTAAACAAATGATATTATTTTATATACTCAGTCATCCGTACGAATCAGATAGATAATTTTGCTATTTTTATGTGTCACAACAATGAAACATTGCATGACCACGCTATGTGAATTTCATTCTTTTTATTCACATCTATTATTTACCAACCTTCTTTCTTCTTTCATTTTAACTTCGAACAAATGAAATAAATAAACGATGAATTGGGCATACTGATGTTTGATTCATTGTTTTTTTTTTGTAATGATTTCATTTTTTTTCATTATTTGGAATTATTGGTATATAGACTTCGTTTGATAAACTTTTTTTGAATAAATAAATAGCATAAGTTCTGTATTTATATAATGAGTTTTTTTCACACTTTTTATTTCTATAGAGTTATGCAAGATACTAATTATCAAGGATAAAATTCCAAAGATTTATCCTCTTTTCTTTTTTCTATACAGAAAAACGAATACTATTTGTTATAATTTATCGTAATCTTTTATATAACAAGTAAACAAAAAAATGGAAATAACCTGTGATTATCTATGAACAATTACGTATTTTTTACAAATGCAAATTTTATTTCTATGCTTCATATTCTTTTTTTTCTCCGTTTCTAACCAGTTGTGTGGTTGTATAAGCATCATCGTTACCTTTTTTTCTTTACTACTCTTAACGAAACTTCTTCATACGAATTCTGTAACACACAGAATATTGTTTTAAAATTGCATACTCATTCATTCTTTCACTCGTTCTCTCCTTTAAATCAATATTGACTAAGAAATAATGCTGTTAAAATATATTTTATAGCAGTACCCTACCAACATACGGGTTGCTGCTCGCCCTTAAGGCTTAGATTCACAAAAAAGAAAAAGAAAATTCTTTTCTTTTCTCTTTTTTTTTACAACATCAATTATAATATTAAACAGCGTTCGAGATTCGTGTAAAGGTACTCATTTTCGTTTTTTTCTGTTGCAAACAGATAAGACATCAACGTATTTTTTTTGTGTTAGTCGATAAGAATTCTAATAGATAAAATGATGAAAGCGACTCTCGCTTAGCACGTTCGGGTCTCAGTAAAATTTTTATATGCTTTCAGCTGCATTTGTTTATTGTTATAGAATTATAAATGCTGCCAACACAAGAAAATATAGCCATACAAACGGATATATTACCAACACAAAACATAGGACATCTAGACCACAACCAACCACAAGTATATTCGATACTGTCTGGTTCTAATAGTTCTTCATCAATAAAAAAGCCTCGTCGAAAAAAGACAACGAAATTAGAGGAAACTATCCCCGTGATGATTAATCCACAGATAACAAGAACACCTACTGGTGTCACTTTTGGTATGCCTCATCATCGTAATAATTCAATGACATTACCAGAATCTATACCACCCTTCGTATCCACACGTCTTATAAATGGTCATACGCTTCCTTTTAGAGTTTTTATAGAACATGATTCCTATGATGCAAATAATAATATCAATAATAATCATATTTCATCACTTTCTATGCCTTTAAATTCATCAGTATCAGTTCAAACTGAACAAAATCCTCCATGTTTCAATGATTCCGTGCCAGTCACTAATTCAAATTCGATGTCCCAAATGGTTTTAGAATCACAGCTATTCGGATTGAACCGAGTACCAAACAATAGAACTGACGAAAGAACAGCATCAGTATGTTCAAGGCAGTCAAATGAATATAAACATCTTAATCCATCATTTACATACAAACGTCAAGGGTCTCCGATTACTCATTCCCACACTATTTCATCATCATCATCTTCCATATCTGCATCTACTACTATTGCACCTACAAGAACAAAGAACAGTACGCTAAAAACATTGCAACGAAATATGTAATATAAATAATTTTCTTATTTCATTTAGAATATACCAAAAGACTAGATTCTCGAACTCCTATCGAACAGTTACACCCTACACAACACACCTCTTCATGTCTAACTACTTTTACACGGTCTACAACTTTCAATGGTTTGCCATCTATAATACCAACATCTGTAACTGCAACACCGATTAATTCTGACGAACCTCCGTTTTCAATGGACATATCAACAACAACGAATTTCATACCATTAACACCACCTGCTTCGATAAGTTCAATAAAATCTCCACCGACTAACATTAATAATGAGTATTCATTAATACCAGTTCAAAAAAATTTATTATCACAGACTACAAATAATATTGCGGATGTAAACTCAATACCGAAACAATACTTTCATGACCAAGGATTTTCTCATATGCAAAACACAATTAATAATTCATATACAAATAGTTTGCCATACAATTTACGTCGTTTATTAGCTGCTAATAATCAGCAATACTGTATGGTTCCTTCTGACTTAATACCTACAAACATTCTACCAATGACATGTACTTCTATTTTACCTGGAACTATCACTACTACTCCTTCAATATTTATACCATCTGAGATAAAAAAGGAAAAGAAAAAATGCGTCCGAAAAACTAAAGTTATGCAAAATCCTCTAGTGGAAATTTCAACTCATGAAAAATCTGTGACTTCTAAATCATTAACAACAGCCATATCTATGACTACTAAAGAAAGAAAACATAAATATTCAAGTCAGAAAGATATACGAACAAAAAAACAATTACGACGTTTTGCACGTCGACATCGATTGGCTGTTTTGAAGTTCATGATGCGAAAGCGAAAACAACAAAAACAAGAACGAATCTCAATACAAAAGCTTCCTGATGTCAAAACAGAACAAGTTGTACCGAAATTAGTCAGCACTCACATGGTAAATTCAGACAACGCTGAGCCACATTTACCAGATATTATTGCACCAAGTTTGAAAATTTCCTTTGATGCAACTCAAAATATCGAATCGATTTCTCTTTATTATCATCGCCGGCATAAACATGACATTACGAGTAAGAGTTCTTCAAGTGCATTGAGTAACAGCGACAATAAACTGAGTTTATTGATTGAAGCAGTCGAACTCATCGAAACTTTGCATGGCAACTTGAAACACGTACTACCTTCAGATAAATAAATAACGCAATATTAAGAAAACTTATCCATAGTTTTTAATGGTTCAAATTTTGTTTGATCTTAAATCAAGAAAATTTTATTTCATGCGTGCACATTTCCCAGAATCAAAAAACAGATAATTATTATCTTTCATATTTTGTGATCGTAGAGTTTTAAATTAGACTTAATTTATTTCGACGATAAATATCGTTTTTGTTGGATCAACGACTAAACATTGTACAATATCCATCATTCATAGAGAGTACTGAAAGATCGTGATTCAATTGAACTTGTATACAAAAAAATCAATACTTATGGATATACATAAGTTCAAAAATAGTAAGAAAAAACATCGAAATATCCTTAGGAAAACATGAAAAAAATCCATTTTGAAATATTATACTAAACGAACTGGAACTCATATCGTATGTATCCATCCATGTAGAATAGTAGACGAAAAAAATAACCAGAAAATATAATATAGACCAACATGGTATGCAAGTCTAAAAGAATCAATGAATAATTTTATATTCGGTGATTTTGACTACTAAAAAACGATATAATCATTGTACTATCGAGTAGGTAGTTTTTTTTTTCAAAATCTAAAAATATAATATTTCATCAAGTAGTAGTTTTCATGTGTATCAAATATTTCTGAGCTCATGTCATTCAGCAGTGCAAGATTTGTATATCATAAAGCTAACTCAGCACGAGAGATTTTATTCTGCGACTTCGGTGACCTACAGAATTTTTATTTTTGAGACTTTTCTGATGGAGTTTTTTCTGTCTGATAAAGTTGTTCTTGCAAATTTCCACTAAGCGAAGAGCTTTATTGGAAACTCTTAGCCCTCAAACAAGCCTTAACAAACTCCTAGAGTGTAGCTAATTTAGAATAGGAGTTTATACTCTCTTTTAAGAGAGGGTCCGCGAGAAGACCACCCTACTCTCCATAGAGGTCGGCGGGGAAAAAAATTTTTTTTTCGATTTTATTTTCTTAAATGATAGGTCTAGATAAACTATACTTAAATCCAAAATATTAGGCCATTTGGTTTTACCTATGAAAAATGCCACCTAAAACAAGTTTGAGGGGGTCAAAATTGACCCTAAAAAGTCACTAAAATTGGGTGTGGTCAGTATTTTGGCAATTTCTCATGAATGGTTTGACCGTTTGAGATCAGACACCTCTCATTAGATAGAGAACAGTATAGGCTACAAATTTATCCTATTTTGATGATTCATATCTGGGATAAAAGAAACGCTATAGATCAAAAACCTTCAAAATTTCAAGAAATCCTACACTCTGAGATAGCAGTATTTTGGGCTTTTCTTGAGTGGTACAAGCGATACTAAACTTCTTTTTTTACCAGACATAGATCTTGTCAAGATACATCTTTTTGACATTAAATTGTCAAGACAAAAAAACTCGGGAGCCAAGTTAGCATGGACCACACTGTGGCCTGTTCTACCTAGTCAGCATTGATCCTACCCCACAAAGACATACAATTTCTACAAAAATCACGAAAATGGACTTCAGATTCGTGTTCAGCTTGAAAAACTAGGCTAGATAGGTTATTTTAGATTGATTCCTTATTTGTACCAAATGTGCTGAAGATCATGGGTCCACCTCATGGATATATGATCGATATATGCCACGGTATTTTGATAATAATTCACCAATATTCATAGCTATCG